CCCTGGACCAAGGACCTCACAGAGACTGAACAAAGTTATAACCAACTTATCAGGGGCCATTGATGCTAAGGGAAACTTTAAACCAGCCTTTCTAAGTTCAGGAAGAGCAGCAGAATAACGTAGACCTTTGGTGTGTTGTATATGTAGGAGGGGTGTCTGCTGTACAAATTTTATGTTGAAAAAGCAAGGAAAATGAAGAGAAAGGAGAAAATATAACTGTTGAATCATAAGACAGCCAGCTCAGGCCTACACACACATGATTATCTTAAACAAGATAACACAATAGAAATCACGATCCGTTAGAATAAATAAGGACATTAGCAGAGAGGAAGATTTTACCAAAGAATCCAACTCAGAAAAATCCAAGGATCTATAAATGCATGCAAAACTTCGAGTATGTGCTTCCAGTTCTCTTGCTCTTTGCTTGTTTTAATACAGGGTATCACTGTACAGCCCTGGACGGCCTTGAACTCACAATCCTCTCTGCCTCCTGAGTGCTGGATTACAAGAAGTGCACCATGCCAAGTAAGTCTGTGCATTCTTAGGACAAAGGAGACCACAAATTTAAATAAAACAAAATTTTAAAAGATATTAATTTATGAAATTTTAAGAAAAGATAATTTCTTAAGTAAACAAAAAAAATGCTCCTACAGAATTGATACTTTTATTCTTAACTAATTTGGAGTATTTAATGCAAAGTATGGAGACAAGAAATATATTTTGATCTGACAACAAAACTCCAACCATACCATACTGTGTATTGAGAAACAAGGTGTTTCATATGATCAGAGTAACACTGATGACACAACATAACTCATTTAAGGTCACTACGGTGAGCAACCGGGTGAGCAAATACATTATACATTAAGGTGGAAATGAATCAAACTGATGGTATAATGTCGCCCTCTGCTGGACTCAGCTGGTAAACATCAACCTCAAAGAATCCCCAGTTTAGTCTGGGGCCTCCTCAGTGTCAGTGTCATGCTGTGGTGTGGCTTTACAGAAGTCAATCCTGAGTTCTGAGGTAGAAGAGGTGGTGGTGGTGGCAGTGGTGGTGGTGGCAGCAGCAAATTCCACCTGAATTAAGGCTCACATCACAGGAAGGAACCCTGAATAGTGCTACAGGCACAGGACACAGTCATGACTGAGGAGGTCACAGGCTACAGTGGGGAGCTATCACTGTTTCATTAAACAGGCATGTGTCTCTCAGACTGATTTCTAAACATTTGTGTTTACGCTCAGACTGCTACTCTCAGCCTCACTAATGGGAGGAAATGTCCCTTTTGCAATGGGAGATGGTTACTGCATAAACTCACCAGTCAATTTCTGAGAATAAATGTCTATTGTGTGGTGTAGTACCCAAGGTTCAGACAGACAGAGAAGACAGTAACCACACATTTACATTGACCCTCCCCTCCAAGGCCCCAGGAACATCACAAAAGAAGGGGCAGGAGAGTGTAAAAGCCAGCAGAAAGAGAAGCATATACTGTGTAGCCATTTCCTCTGGGTTGAAATATCCTCTCATGAATGAGGCAGGACACTCATGAGGCTCATGGAACTGACAGGAGGGCCGTCAAACATCTCAGCAACTAAAGGGATCTGTGGCCAAGCCAGACAACCATTGTTGATCTCTAGTACCCACATATTTTAAGGAAAACCTGTTGTGGATTGCTGTAAGCTGTCCTCTGACTTCTACAGGCACACTGTGACATATGACCCCCACACACCACACCACACCACCACCACCCCACATACAAAATATTTTTAAAGAAATAGTAACCTCACAAGACTCAGGAAGCTCACAAAAGTTACAAGACTCGGGCTGGAGAGATGGCTCAGTGGTTAAGAGCACTGACTGCACTTCCAGAGGTCCTGAGTTCAAATCCCAGCAACCACATGATGGCTCACAACCATCTGTAATGAGATCTGATGCCCTCTTCTGGTGTGTCTGAAGACAGCTACTGTGTATTCATATATAATAAATAAATCTTTAAAAAAAAAAAAGTTACAAGACTCATGAGGTCCCCACCAGGGATTAGATGAAAAACAAACAAGCTAGGGAAGACAAGAGACTCTTAGGCAGAGACGCTGGGCACAGGTTACAGGGATTCCATGAAGCTGCATCATCATCCTGTTTGTTGAGGTGGCTTTTCAGGAACATAGCTGCCTGAGTCAGTTACAATCTGGTAAGTGATCCCAATAAACTTCCGGGCTCACCAAGCTCACTTGCTGAAATCATGAATTTGTTATTGTCCTCTCTATCTGAAGTGAAAGGATGTAGACTCCCATGTGAAGTGATACAACAACATTAAAACAGAAGGGCTTCTTAACACTATGCTAGACATAAGATCTAAAAGGGCTTTAAGAAGATCTTCCACCAAGGGAAGATGCTTCAATCCCACTTAGAAGAGGGCATAAGAGGCAGATGGAAGGAGGGACCTGGGTGAGAGAGGGGATGAGGAAGGGAATGAAAGGGTTCAGATCAAGTATGGAGAGGAATGGGGGTGGGGGGGGTGGTTTTGGGGTGGTGGCCAGATAGCCATGAAAATGAATGGAAATCTGCAACTGATGGGAGTGGAGAACCATCTCCAGGAAATGACTGAGACCTAGGATAAGGGAGGTGCCCAAGAATCAATGGGGTGATCTTAACTGTGACTCATAGCAGTGGGGATATGGAACCTGAAGAGGCCATCTTCCATAGCTAGGCAGGAACTCTAGTGGAGCGACAGGGACACCAACCCAACCTTAAAACTTTCAACCCCAAATTTATCCTGTCTACAAGAAATGCAGGGTTGGGGGATGTAGCAGAGACTGCAGAAACAGCCAACCAATAACCTGCCTAACTAAAGACTCATCCCAGGGGTGAGCACCAATCCCTGACACTATTGAGGACACTCTGTTAGTTTGCAGACAAGGACTTTAGCATGGCTGTCCTCTGAGAGGCTCCACTAGTAGCTGACTCAGATAGATACAAACTAATACCCACAGCCAAACAGTGGATGGATCTTGGGGACTCTTATGGAAGAATTAGGAGAAGGATTGGGGCCCTAAAGGGTACAGGAACTTCACAGGAAGACCAACAGAGTCAACTAACTTGGACTCTTGGGGCTCTCAGAGTCTGAACCACCAAACAAAGAGCATACATGGGCTGGACCTAGGCACTCTGCACATATACAGCAGAAACGTACCTTGGTCTTCATGAAGGTCCTGAACAACTGGAGCAGGCCTATTCCAAAAGCTGTTGCCTGTCTGTGGGATATGTTCTTCTAACTGGGTTGCCTTGTGTGGTCGCAGTGGGAGAGAAGTCCCTCAGAGACTTGATGTGCCAGAGTGGGGGGGGATACTCAGGGGAGATACCACCCTCTCAGAGGAGAAGGAGAAGGGGGACCTAAAAGAGGGTCAGCGGGGGGGAGGGGCAGTGAGTGGGATGTAAAATAAATAAATACATACATACATACATACAAAGAAGATCTTCCTTTCATGTACCTCTACTTGGTAGCTGCCAGTCCTTGGTTTAATCCATTCTGGTAAATCCTTTGGGATTGGAATTATATTCATCCTGAGCCTACTTTCTGAACACTAACCAGAATGCCTTCCCACTTGTCCTTGCTCCTTTTTTTTTTTTTCT